TTTAGGACTATTAATGTGTATTATTTTTAACGAGAAATTTTGACTGTGATTCTAAAAATAATTAAGGGAGATCATAAGGGAACCCTATATATCATTAGATATGCAAAACATTACTTGATTGATACTTCGCTAACAAGACTACATTATATTCTACATTCAAATATCTATCATAAATAGTTTATTCATGATTTATGGTAAAAAAAATTTCATAAATTAAGAATATAATTCCACTACTTCAAAAGTTATAAACTGCGAGATTCCTACCGTAAAAGTTGGAGCCATTTTTATTTTTCATAACACTTCAAATTTAAGAACACTTTTTAAAAAGTTTAATTTATATTTTCCTGATTTTTTCCTAATTTAACCCATTAAAACGATTCTTAAATCTTGCAATCATCAAAAACTTCAAAACTAATACAACGCGAACACTCCCTCTCGCAACCAAAATGTATCAACTAATTACTAAATTTCGTGACATTTAAAATTATTCCTTCCCTCGTTTTGTAACACAAAGTGACACTTTAGAAAACTCAGCGTTGCTTGAAGTGAGGCATTGTTATTGCGATTGTTTGTCTTCCCCGCTTCTAATTAAAAGGATCCATCTTGAAGGGGAAAGAGTTAAAACCAGAAATGCTGTCTCATTAAATTTGATGCGAATGGTTTCCGTTACAAGTGTAACATATACTATTTTGAAATGTTGTGCCATGTCCTCAAAAATAAAACTAAGGCTAGTAATCATAAGTTAATTTAAATTTATTTATTACTTCATTATTGTCTACAATGTAACAAGAGTTTGAGTTTTTGAAGAAAAAAATTTCGACTGTAAACAAATGAAGGAAAATTTATGTAAAAAAAGGGTTGTCATTGGAAAAAGAATTGCTTTATAAAAGCGGAATGGAATATTAATTAGGTTAATATTTGTTAAATTATAATTAGGTTGACCATTTTGATCTGTGTACGAGCTTTATAACTAATTTTGAAACTCGAACAAGTTCTCTTGTTTTTTAAACAGAAGGCTACGAACCTTCCGTATTTCTTTTATGAATTTTTCGTCGAGCAATTTCAGAACATAGTAATTGTCCAATTGGTTTCCGTTGTCAACCTTTAATTCTTAATATTAACCTTCTATTCCTTCTTCTAAATATTTCATTTTAAAAAAAGTTTCATTTTATATTTTGAATTAACACGTGACTTAATAGTGGATATATTTTTAATTGTTAGAGGGGGGGCAGCAAAATATTTTCAGTGCTTAGGGCTTCAAGAGGTCTTAATCCGGCCCAGATGACATAACTACTATAAAGAGGAGAATTATATAAGCCTACGAATTATTTAGAAATAATGGTGGATAAAAATCTACTAAATAGAATTTACTAAACCAAGAATCACAATTGATAAACTACCACTTTAAAATATATATATTTGCAGTCTGCAGTCCGGAGCAAGTTGGCATCTTTGGTATAGGTGTCGTGAATTTCTGCCCTGTGATGTGAGAAGTATTTTGAAGAATTCAGAACATTGTAAAAAAATGCAATTTAATTACAATTCTTTCAATATAGTTAATGATATAGTGGGAAAAGATTTTAGTGAATGTAGGAACAACGGCTTTAGAAACAGCGAAGAACTGTTTACGAAAAACATTTTCTTAATAACAGTTGCCTTAATAAACCTGGCAGACAAATATTAAATTCTATTCATTAGTTGATTATGTTTTTAAAACCAAAACTTCGCGCTTTTTCGATACGTTGTTGAGAACCATCATCCTCTAAGTGCTTCAGCTGTAGCTTAAAGAGTCCAATTACATTCGTCATATAATACAAATTTCTTCGAAAACCTCTAATTCTTAATTTTAAGCGTTCGTGGAGTACCAATATTCGTCGACGAAACAAACTTTAAATTTGCGACACGAATGAAACAAAACTTTTATTTCGGAACATTTTCAGAGACTGTACGTATAGGTGAGAAAATTTCAGGTTTTGTGATGTGGAAAGTATTTTGAAGAATTACGAACTTTCTAGAAAAGGAATTAGGGTTAATGCTTCGCGGAACACAGAACATCTGGTAAACGTCATTTACACTTACCAGTGGTAGAGATGTTTTGTCATTATTCATTTTTCAAAATACTGGTGCGGCGAACTTCAGCGACGGGAAGAATATGATGGACGACTTGTTCGGAGAAATTGGAGAAGATTGGAGTTGTGAATGAAATTAATGTTTCGTAAAGCATGTGTTCTTCGCTATTTTCTAAAATATGTGAAACATTCTAGCGAGTTGAATTGATGAAGAGATGAAATAAAAGAGCGGTAGCGAATTTATTAGAACAAGTATAATTGACGCAATTCGCTGTATTTTAGAAATTCCACTCCTAATATACTCAATTGTAGAATTCGAAAGCTACATACTTTTTAAGAGAAATATTAAGAACGTTTTATTTTTAAATAAATAAAAATTTATCTTTTTTTTTTTTATTTAAATTTTTTTAAACTATTTTTACTTCTTACATTTAATGTCGAGACTTTATGACTTAATATCTAAACAAAGCTATACTTGATTTTTTTATTAAATAAAAATAATTAATAATTAAAAAGTTTTAAAAAAATTAATAATCACTGTTTCTAATAATCGTTTTATTTATGTCTCTGTTTAATTCTTGCCTACCTTGCTAATGTTCGTTAAATTTTGATAATGTTTTACTATGAGGGCTCTATAAGTTTAAACAACCGATGCTGCATCAGGACCGATTGCAGCGGCAATAAATCAGTTCCTCCTCATTACCCAGAAGAAAAAAAATTCCCTAATTTTTAACTGATTTCATTAAAATTCCATGAATTTGGTAACCATAAATTTTATGATTGAAAAATCAGTTATGCCTTATTATTATACATAAAAATATTGCAAAATACAGGGGTGATTGTGAGTCCAAGTCAAAATTCCGGAAAATTTCTTAAGTTAAAAAAAAAAAAAAAAACGTTTAAATTGAAAAATTAGAAAAAAATTTAAACAAGGTTTTTTCCTTTTTCTCAACATTTCTTAGTTTACTTAAAATATATTTAAAATTTTTTCACATACCTATGATGACCTGGAGAAATAATTAAAATTTACAAAGATGTCTTTCTTTCTTGAGTTTATGATTATAACAACTATTTACTGATAAAAAGTTAATATTAATCATGAATATAAGCTTATAAAGTATCTCTCTTACAAGCAAATAAAATAAACTGTGTTTTTAAGTTCCACCTTTGAAAATTTGATTTCCGGAAACTTCTGTGATCAAAGATTTTTTGAAACTCCCGGATCACTGTTAACGAAAAATCCGGATTTTTTCCGGAGCACAATCAGCTCTGAAAATACTTACACTAGCTATGAGAGATAAAAATAATTTTTTTTTAAAAGTAATAAACCGATTTCTTTGGGAAAAAAAACATACTTTTGATTATCTTAAACTCAAATTAAATCATTTTTAATGACTTTTTAGCTATTTTAATTAAATTCCCTAAAATTTCCCTGTTTTGTGTCTACCCTGCAATTGCTGTATTCAGAAAACTTAATTTGAGAAAGAAAATCTAAAACCAGAGAGAAATTTTTCATTGGCTCATAACTTCTGATATATAGATCTGTTCACTTAATTTATGTTAAATTCGTTAAAAATCAAGAGTATCTCTGATTAAGGTTACTTCTTCAAAATTAAGATTCCGGTTGTGGTTTAAAAGAATCATCACTAGTGATAACTTTGGTGAGCGTATTATATTTCTTCATTATATTTCTTTATTATATTTATTTATTATATTTATTTATTATATTTAATTATGATATTTATATATTATATCTATATATTATATTTATTTATATATATTGGAATTAGTTTCTAAATTAAAAAGCGAAACTCTATAATATATTAACAATTACCACATTTTCACACAAATTCTTAAAATAAACAGATTTTTAAAGAAAGTATCATTTAGCAACTTAGTATTTGTGATGTTTAAAGATGCCTGTTCACCTGGGTTTTTTGTAAAAAATCAGTTTTTTCAAGTACGCAATAGTTTCTTTACAGTACACAATACTTCAATTAGAAGATTGTGTACAGTGAAGAAATTTCCGTGCAAACTTACTCAAACACAAAATGCTCATTTCCTGATAAATCATTATCAATGCATTAACTGATAAATGATTTTTGACGAATATATCAATTTTAAAAAAATTATTGATGAAAATGGGTAATAAAATATTAAACCTTCTTTTGCAGGCTGATAAACCTTTTTAAAAACTATAGAGTTTAGAGAAGATTATTTAAGAGTCTAAAATAAGTAACCACAATTAAACAATAATAAAGAAATAAAAATAAAAAATAATATGTTTTATAGTTAACAGTTAAACAGTTATTTATAATAAAAATAAAAACAGTTAAATTTATTAAGTTATAAATAAAGATAAAACTTGATGCAAAAACTTGATATTGTTTTATTAAAGTTAGTTTTTAAATTTAATATCTTAAACAGAATTTGCATGAAAACTGCAAAACTCTTTACACATTCCCTTTGCATAAATTTAACAAATGTGAGTAAAAAAAGCACAGTTATTTTAACACTTAGATTTAGTGTAAATTACCCACAACTCTTTTCGCGCTAATGATTCAAAGCATTTAACAAAATCCTGAAAAAAATTAACTCAAATTTATTATACACATTCAAAATCTCCACCTTAATTAAAGGCAAAGGTGAATTCATTTGCTTTTTCCTTCTAAAATGTGCTTTAAATGCTGGGGTTGACTCCATTTTAAAATTATATAATGATCACTGATAATTTTTAAAAAAATATTGTGCATTAAATATCGTTCATTTTGTAGAATAAATTTATAAACCTTCAGAACAGAAATTTTTAATACACTACACAAAATTTTATTTTTAAAGACTCAAAGATTATGAAATGTACTTAATTTTATAATCAACATATTTTACACCATTGAAAAAAAGTTTCAAAATGTAATAAATAAAATACAAAACTATGATAAAAACATTGTTTATTTAAACATTTCACTTTATACAATAAATACAAAAAATATGAAAATGGGTCTTCAAAAAAGTAAAATATAGTTTCAGCTGTTATATCCTAGAGGATCATTATTTGTATCTAGTAAAGAAAAGGATGCATTAAGAGTAATGCGTAGAAAATGCTTGATATCTTCATTAGAAAACTCCTGAAAATAAACATAAATGTCAACATTAATACAATCACAACGTTTTTCTTTCTTTCTTTTTTTAAGAAGAGAGCATTTAACAATAATTTATTAAAACCGCACAACTCCTTAATACAAAATAATTGGTAATGATGCCTGTTTGATTATCAAAAATTCAGATTATTCAAAATTACAGTTGTAATTGATGTTTGACAATATCAAAGAAAAAACAGCATCTTTAAAAGGTGCTACATTGGAGCTTCAGGATTTGTTGTTGTTCACTTTTTACTATGCAAAGAGATGTGTTACGTTTTTAACCTTTTTTTTTTTGATGCTATATCTTTTTAAGAATGTAAGTGAATCGTGCTTTCAGATAACTCTAGGGGAATTTTTTTTTCCCTGTTGCAGGATATTTACTTTCGTATCGCTGATTTCAAATATGTTATTGATTTCTTTCTCCAAGCATCAGATTGTTTTTATTTTTTTTAATGACATACTTTTTTTTTTTTCTTTGTAGAAATGTTTAAGCTATCTTGGTTCTCATCAAAAACTCATAAAATTATTACACTGGAGAAAAAATTTTTTATAAATTTTTATTTTCAATCTATTTTTTGTCAAAATGTTCAAATTTTAAAAATGTTGCCTAACTCCCTTAGAAGTTTGTCACAGATTTGACATGACCCCATATTATACAGTCAAACCCCGCAATAGTGAACCTTCAAGGGACCGAAGTTTCGGTTCGCTATAACCGGGAGTTCACTATATCTGTTACGCAGTCAATTTAACTAATGGTTCCTTAACTCCTCCCTTTTATTACACATTATTCAAATAAATGACTGAAAAATATTATGTAGCGGCAAAAAAATTGTTATTTTTCATTACTCTTCGTCTTGCGTACAAAAAAATTAGTAATCTTTAGCTGATGAGCAATCCTCACCATCAGATATGGAAACACTTCCCAACTCTCACATAATTTTTCCTGAATTTCTGCTATTCCGCTTTTTAAACATGTCTAACCTGCCATTCGAGCACATAAATGTAGTTTCATAAAATCGCTTAGCAAATTCATCAACATTTGCCAGATACTGGAAGATTGCGGCTTCTTCGATTGGTGAACCACTTCAGCAATGTTTCTTCATTATCCTTGTAATCTGCTCTTCTCAACTTTTTTCCACCATTTAAATTTTTTTCATGAGCAGAAATTATTAACTGCCTTTTTTTCCATATGTTACAAACTGCAGATTTGGATAGTTTATATTCCCTGCAAATATCAGCTTGATTGCATCCATTTTCAATTTTTCTGATTATGCCCATTTTATCATCAATGGAGAACGTTTTACGTTTACTGGTCGCCATAGTTAAATTTGAGACACTTGTTTGCAGGATTTATTTTAACTGAGAGCAAAAAGGAGTTGAAATGATGGCCTTATCAACACATATTAGTGTCCAACTCTTTGACCAATAATGAATAATTACTCATTCCTTCTGAAAAAAATGCATATTGATCCCGCTGCCTGGGTTGGAAACATCTGCTTGGTTTGTTTAGGGATGGGAAAGTGAGATAAAAGAAGCAAACAAGAAAATATGCTTATTGCTACATTCCCCTCTATAGATGGTTTTGAAAATCAGTATATGTATTTAATTTGAAGTAAAAATTTCAAAATTATTACAAATTTTTTTTTAAAAAAATCAGTCNAAAATGTTTAATTTTTCATTATATCCAACTTCCTCACTTTTTTGGTTCACTATATCCACAAAAAATAACATTATCCGAGTATAGCAAGACACGGGACCGAAAATTTTGTTCACTATATCCGGGAGTTCACTATAAACCGTGTTCACTATAGCGGGGTTTGACTGTATATATGTTTCTAAACTTGTGCATTTCCACAAAAAATAGCTTAAAAATAAAAAAAAATCTGTAGCTTTAGGAGCAAAACGAATTTTTACACCCTGATTGGGTAATATCAAGTATTTGCATAAATGCAACAAAAAATTAGCTCCCCATTTTCTGATTTTGTATCTAAAGTTTTTGCCGAAAACGAAAACCGTTCTGGCTGTATGTCTGCTCTCAGCCACCACAGCAAAGATGTTAGCCACAGCTTAATGGCAAACTATATATATTGCGGCACTGTGAAGATGTAAAGAGTAAAGATTGTTCCGTATGTTCAAACAGAAAAATTAAAGGCAGAAGCTGCCAAACTAATTATTTTTGCGACAAAAGTTCTCAAAAACCAGGGCTTCATATTAAAGACTGCTTTGAAAGATACTACACAATGGAGGACAATTAAAATATAATTTTTACATAAAATTAAAACATATTAATGTGTTACATATATCTTAAGTTTAAAAAAGAATTAATACATTTTATTTTCCCTTCATAATCTTGCATATTGTGTATTACTGTTTGTTCAACGAAAATTAATTCCAACCAGCATGACACCCATGCAGGGCCGGATTAACCTATAGGCACACTAGGCACGTGCCTAGGGCCTACGAAAAACTTGGGAGAAAAAATTTGTTGACAAAAATAATTTAGCTTTAAAAACAACAAGTGTATTTTGCACAAAATTATGAAGATACAAATAAAAATATCATATTTTTCGGTAATAAATTATTTTGCAGAATCTTATGATCTAATATATTACTTTTTTGCGATTTTTGGATTCAACAAAATCTTGTATTATGCTGTCGAATTCCAAACTACGCAAAATGTCATATTCAATAAACATAAGTGCGAGCGATGCCAAACGATCTTGATTCAAAGTTGAACGCAAATAATTTTTTATCAAATTTTAGCATATATTTTGAAAAGAGGGGAGGAGTAGGGGAAGGAGGGGAGGGCCCAAAAACGGCTATGCCTAGGGCCTACGAAAGGTATAATCCGGCTCTGCACCCATGCATCAAATATAGCAACATAAAAAAATAAACATGTATACAAACAACTATATAAATATAAAACTTTAAAAATAAGGAGAAAAAACTTAATTGTTTTTCTTTTTCTAGATCAAGAATTCAAATCTCAAAGGGTCTGCTTTTATCATACAGGGAATAGATTAAAATTGAAATAAATGCTTATTTGCCTTTACCTTATAGAGCTCATATCTTTCAGAAGATAAAATGTCTGCTAATTGAATAGCTTCCTTGTACCTCTCTTCTGAAGTTAAAAGATCTTGTAACAAATGAGAAACATGTGGTATACATTGTTTACGGAGATGAGCTAATTGGAGAGTACGGCCCTCATCAATAGTGCCATCCTGTAAACGCAAAAACAAATAGCAAATTTAGATCTAAACAGAAATTTAATTCTTTAAAAAAGTTAAAAATACTCAAGGTGCGTAGATAGGCTTTTCAACAAAAATTAAGCACCTTTTAAGTACTTTTCAAGAGCTCAAAAAATATTTTTAATCATTTTCCAAACAAAAAAAAACAGAATTAAGATCTGTGCAGTAAAAAAAAATTTTTTTTCTCTATCATTTAAAGTTCTTAATTTAGAAACATAAATTCAATAAAATTCAGAAACTTTACATAATCATGATTAAATAACTAGTTTCTGATAAATATTGCGGAGAAAAATGTGAAAATCGTGCCTTTTTTGTAATTCAGAACCACAATCGACATGGCAAAGGAAAAAATGGCTTTTTAAAAAATAGAAAATTAAGCACTTTTTACGAACCCCAAATAGAAAAGCACCTTTAAGGGCATTTAAAAAACGTAAATCAAAAATAAGCACCTTTAAGCACTTTTTAAAAATGCTATGCACCCTGATACTAAATATATTGCAGGTCATTCCTGTAAAAAAAGATCAAATGGCAGAACAAAAACATAATAAACTAAAATGGATACTTGATAAATTGTTATAATTTTTGCAGCAATAATTGTGATGTTTTATGCTTCAGTTTTTCACAAACTCTACGTGGGCTTTAGTGTTTATGGAGAAAAATAGATTTATAGTATTTAAGCTTTTTCAGTTTTTAGGGAAATAAAAGGAAAGACTTTTTCAATAATTACAATATTCAATATTTCTAAAAAAAAGTACAATTATAAATTTGATATTTAAGTCTAAAACATATGCAAGAACTTCCCTAAACTATAACTGAAACTGCTAAACTAAAAAATATCATCTATAAATAGAAAAAGTAAATTTTATTGCCAAAACAATAAAACAATTGTACTTCTCCACCAGCTATTTAATACTGATTAGTTCAATATTGCTTTTGTTTGGTATTTACGAATTAACCTGAAAGATTGAAAAAAGTGAACTGAAATTTCCCGTTTTCCCATATCTATAGTTCACGATCAGTGTTTTCATCATAGAAAAAAAATGGGGGAGAATTTCTCACCCTTTCTCAAAAACAGGGTGAGATTTCAGAAAGTTAAGTGAGATTTCTAAAAACTAAAAAAACACAACAAAAAATCAAAAAAAAAATTCATTTCTTTTATTATAATACATTTTTAACGTCTTCTATTTTTTAAAGCATTGAATATTCTTGCTGCATCATCATAGAAGATTTTGCCTTTACTAGGTATTTGTCCATCTTACATTAGTGCATTAAAAATTTGAATGTCTTACATGAAAAAACCTTACCTACAGTAAACACGTGGTTGCAGAGAAATGTGTTCTGAAAGGGGTTCCGTGGTTCGGTTGTGTTCTGTTGTTCGAAAAGGTTCTGAACAATACTGGTAAATAGGAAAGCTAGATAACGGAGCAAATATTGAAAATAATGAAAGATCCAGGAAGAAAAGTGAAACGGATTCTTCCAAAGTGAAACTTCTTCCAAAATGCGAGAAATTCGCGAATTTTGAAATTGATTTATAGAATGCGCGAATTTCTCGCAGTAATAATTTTTTAATGCGAGAAAAGAAAAAAATATGCGAGGATTCTCGCGCTGTTGTGAAAACACTGACGATGTATGGTACCTTGAGAAACAATCGATCGAGGTTCCATTATAAATGCTATGAAATACCCTTAACTCAATGGGAAGTTTCCCTTCTACATGCACTTCATAAAAACATCATTTTGGTTCAGCCACTTTAAATACTCAATATACATTTAATTTTTAAAAAATTTTAAAAAACTATGCGATGTGCTATTAAAAGAATTTTTAAAAATTAAAAAATATAAACAAAAAATCGAATTAACAGTTTTCAAAGTATAACTAGCAATCATAAATTTGCTTCATGTCGTTATTATCAAACTAATTAAGTTGATTAGATTTGGTTGATTTTTTAAAATATTACATAATTTTTTCCAAAGTGTAAAATTAAAAATAAAATTTCCACTTACTGTTCTTTGATCAACCATCCATCCTCCATTCACAAAGAGTAGGACATTATATAAACATTCCGATGCAGTCTATTGAGAAAAAATATTATATTACATTACATATATATTATTATTATATTATACAATATTATTTATAAATGCTTTTAATTTATGTTTACCTCCTTAATTTTTAGATAAAATGTGATATGCACATAATTGTTTCGATTGTAATTTGTACTGAACAGCATTTAATAGCTGTACAAAACTTTAAAACTAGTAATATAAAAATAATAAACAAATTTGGTTTTTATAAAAAAAAAGTATATTTTTATATTGAAAAAAAATTATAATTACTAAAACCTTATTCATACGACAAAAAAGCATGTGCCTAGGTCGTATATAAATACAAAAAAAATCTTTTTTACCCCTTCCTTGATAAATTTTAACGCTGCACATAAAATCATTTCTTGTAAGAAAATTAAAGACAAAGATAGTTAAGTAAATAACAGTCCTAACAACAATATTCACCTTTACAACATGGAAATAGAAGAAAAGCAAATTGTGTATAGACAGTAACTACAAAAGTAACAGTATTTTGTAAAGGCAATATTTCAAACTAAGTAACTTTTATCTTCTATAGAAGTTGAATTTTTTTTATTATGGTTCAAACAAACCAGATTTTATATATTTTTATGTAAGACAATTTTATGCAACAAACCTATTTAGAAACCTTAACAGAACATAAAAATAGCTGATTTATGAAAGAGGTTACATTTAATTATCTTTTAAACATCTTTTTAAATTACAAGAATGTCATTACATTAATTAAAGTGCTTTTGCAGAAAAGCTATAGCATAGCTAACAAATTAATAATTTTTTGAATCATACATTTTATATGAATTATTTCTGTATGATTTGATAAGGATCATAACGCTAAATCTTAAAACAAATTTCTATAAATTAATTTTTTTTTCAAATATTTTATAAGAATAATTATTATTAGCATTGACAATAAGATTATATGCAAGACAATAAGATTAAAATTACTATCTATAAACTAATTACCAACAGCTAATTTGTGTGAATAACTTCTGTAAAGTTAAACTTGTCAATATCTATGTCTTGTTATCACATAAAAATTTTATTTAAAAAAAAAAAAATTCTAAAGAAAACCATGACACAAATATCTACACTTACAGAACCAAGCATGCTAACAACATCTTTCCACCTTTTCAAGTCCTTTTCATACTGTTGCATTTCATGTTCATGAGCAACTTTTTCTTTAAAAGTGACATGATCTCCAGGACCCTGAGGTTCTTTAGGCTTAGCATGGAGCGAGTGGTGAAACCAAGCATTAAAAGCATCCATGGCCTCCTAAATAAATTAATAAAGTAACAACTTACATCACCAATAAATATCTAATTGTAAACATCTTTAAAGGAAACTAAAATTTCAAAAAAAAATTATTCAATAAGATTTCACATGATAAAAAAATTAACTAACCAAATAAGCTTTGAAGCAAAGATACTCTCTGGTAGTATTGTCATCATCAGCGGACAATTCTTCATAACCTTTCTAAAAAAAATTCAAAAAAACCTGTTCATAATTTAAATACTTATCATTAATTATAGGAAATTAACCAAATACTAATCTATAAAATAATATTCAATGAAAAAAACACAAATAATAAAAAAACGCATAAAATTAAATAGATATAAAATACAAGTAAGAGCCATTGGGGAAGAACAATTTATGTTCATAAAAACTGATTCGGAGAAAGCACCATTTTTTGTGCAAAAAGGAACGGTTTTATTGCAGAATGACTGATCTTCACTGGGTAATAACTCTCGGGGGATAACCAATTTTTTACGCTATTGATTTGTCAAAACTGATCTTCAAAATGCAATAGGAGGCGACCTAATCATCATTTTTGTGAAAATTTTACATAACCCATTCTTCCCCCTTGTTCTTGAAGAAAGGAAAAAAAATTTCTTTATTGCAGACTGTACCAAACAAAAACAAAAAAAATTAACATTTTAAACTAAACTGTCAGTGGCCAGAGTAATATCACCTTTTTGGCCATTTCACTTATGTTGCTTCATATGTAAAAAAAAAAATATATTGATTACTTTTTTAAGAACAGTGCTCTCTATTAAAAAAATTATCGAATAATATGACTGAAATTATAACTGAAAATTTCCTAATATGCATTATTATAATGAAAAAAGGAAGGAATTAAAAGAAAATAATAAAAGTATCTTATTAGCAGGCTGGTCAAAAATCAATAACAAAACAAAAAATTGATGCTTTATACTAAACGGTTAATGATCAGTGTAATAACACCTTTTTAGATATTTCACTTGTAGTAAAAATATAATTCTTTAATTTCTAAATGTCTCTATTAAAAAAAATAATAATAAATAATATAATTCAGAGGCCACATAAGAACTGAAAATTTTCTAATATGTATTGTTAATAGTGAAAAAAATACAAACATTTATTTACTTATTATTTATTTATTTTTTTACTAAATTCAAATCTTTCTGGATGTCTGGAAAACATTTAAATATCATCTATCAAGCATGCACAACAAACATTTGTAAAATACTTGATTTAAAATTTACTGGATATAAAAGAAGAAAAAATGAATATGCTTATACACTAGATAAGCATTACTCAGGCATTAAAGCCATTAAAAACTAAGTTAATTAAAAAAATAAACAATAATAAAAAAAGACATTAGTTTAGCTTTTAATTATTAGATATAATTTCAGATCTATCATTTGAATAAATAGCTAACAAATCTAAGGTAAACATACTGCTTTTGATAGCTGCATAATGAGAGCCAAAGAATCTTCAGGTATTTTGGAGAACAACAATTTAGCAGCATCAAGTTTTCTCTGGGCTACATTTAAGGGGGGGAAAACATTTGAATTACAGAACAAGTACTTAACATAATCAAACAAGATTGAAAATATCAATAAGTAATATTGCATACCGATAAAAACTCTCAATAAAGCATTAGCTTGCTTCACAGCTTCAGACCTTTGATTAGGATTGAATATCAACCAGTCAATAGCATGAATTTTTTGAAAATCTTCCTGAAAATTAAACTTTGTATCAAAAAATATCTAAAATACAGCCATAGAAATAATAAGAAATTAAAAGCACAGTTCAAACATTAATTATCTGAAGTTACTTGGATCGAGACTACTTTGGGTAATTAAAATGTTGAAATATTTATTTATTCACATTTAACAATTAACTACAATAATTAAACTTACATCTTAATAGTAGTTCTATTAAATTTAAATAAATTAACTTTTAAATTTTATTGCTTTTATGTCTAATATACAAATAATGTTTTCTACCATAGAATCCCCATCACCTTGTTTCACAATCTTGTCTATTTGGGTCCCTTTATTCATTGCTAAACACAGTCGTAGTTTAGCGTGATTCATGATACAATTCAATTTTCCTCAATAAATATGATTTCTTAAATAAATTTAACAATGAACATACATAAAATGTGTACAAAAGGATTTAAGCGATATTCTACTTCTGACTAGTCTTAAAATTTTATATAATTCTAGTACTGATAAGGACAAATGACATAAAAAAAAATTTTAATCATTAGGAGTGATTATTTAAAAAGAATTGTACGCGGTAAAAGGATAAATTTTAATTTCCAATCCATACTTTCATTAACACTTCAATTTGAAGAAAGATTTTGCTGCATGACTCAAATTTTCTCATTATATAGCAACATAAAGAAAAAGTGGTATACAGTGTGGAAAAGTAATTAGAGCTTACTAGGAGCTAAATTTATCATTAACAATTTAAAGAATTAAGGGTACAAGAAACCTTTAAACTAATATGAAATTTTTCAGAAAAATTAAGAATTCTATAAAATGTTAAGCTTAATCATGAAAAATATGGCCTTTAGAGGAATTTCTATTGATAAATGCAAGAAAATTGTACAAAATTGAGTAAAACAGAAAAATGAATATAAAATTATATTTATAAATTATTATGAAATTGAAGCAAGAATCAATCAAGTTCAGCGATGTTCCAGAAAAAAAAAGAAAATAAACTTCTTCTTTTTAAAAAAAAAATTATATAGATTATTTTTAATATTTCAACAAAACAAAACATAGCCATATTATAATCCTCATATTAAATTTTGGTTGAAATTTAAAGAAAATTAATAAAATAACAGAAATACAAGAAGCATAAAATAAAACAAAAAGATAGAAAAAAATATTTCATAAAAAAAAAAAAACCAAATTCGGGACCATTATTTAAAATTAAAATTAACACATAAATGTTCTTTATATTTTATGCAAAAATTGTTTATCTGTTGAAAATTTCATGGTTCATTTTGATGAAGAAAATTACACTCAAAATTATTAAATTCTGTATCAGAACACCCAAAAGCATTTATTTTCAATGTCTTCATTAAAAATAGAATCAGATTAAATGTAAAATTAAATGACTTGAGAATCAGGAACAACTATACTGGGCCAAACTCATTATACAGAATTAGTAATATTATGGACTGAAAGTAAAATTCAACACAACTAAAACTATGCCTGATGCAAAAACAGAAAATATTACAACCTGAAAGTAAACTAAGCACTATTAAAAGTTATGCAAGGTGCAAAAAGTAAAACTGAATACTACTAAAAACTAAGCCTAATGGAAACATATATCAAACTGAAAGTAAAACAAAGCACTACTAAAATATACCATGCAAAAAGATAATGATATTACATACTGTAAGTAAAACTAAGCACTACTAAAAACTATGTCTGATACAAAGAGAAAATGGAGAGAGGCAAAGAAAGAATGATCACACTAAAGCAAATCAAGCTCATGCAGTGGCGTATGCAGAATTTTTTCAAGGGGGGTGTTCATAATTTTTTGAAATTACTAAAAGAAATTCGAGTATGTAATAAAGCACTTTTATTTCCCTAATTTAGACAGCTAACAGTTTTGACTTTTTATTTAGACAGCAATGTTTAGTTAAATTTTGATTTGATTTCTTAAGTTTAAGAACATAGTGTAATATCTTCTCACATGTAATATCTTTTGAAAAAATTCCAATGTCATATGGGTGGGAAGTAACACTTTGAAGGCCACTTTTACGTTCATCAGATTTTGTTATGCTAGAAACGTTTTCTTCAACGGAAGTATCACATTTCTGTTCAATAGAAAAACTTACATTGGTACCAGATGCTGTCACCTCACTAATTTCAGGTCGTGATTTTTTCTCAAAATGATTAAAAATTGTTAAATTCCTGCATTTTGGCATTCTAAAGATCCAAGAACATCAAATATATTCATATATTTATTGCCATAGAAATATCCGCTATGCTACGATCTCAAAGTTTTGAGCTGGAATGAATAACTTCAACGAGCACAGTATCTCCAATGGTATTGTTACTGATTTCTTCACTAGTCGAAATAGTGGCGACGACGGGTTCGGCGATTGAATTAACTTTTTGTTAAGACAAAACGAAACAGATTTAGCGACGAGCTCCGAAAGACAAGCGGCAGAGATAACTCTTAGTCTGACTAGCTAACTCCAATGTACTCCGTTCGCCCTTTTATATAATTTTTCACCGCATCTCCAAAATTCTCGAATTGTCTCAAAGACGGCAGAAAGTCTATGATTCCAGAATCAACGCGTAAAGACCTCGCAAATGACTGCCAATCTCGAAAACTATCGCGACTGGCAGGACAGAAAAGAACCAGTCCATAACAGTATCACGCGAATTTGGTTTCAATAGTACAACTCTATCATAGTAAATGTTTTTTCAGTATTTTGAGAAATACCGTGAGAAAAAAAAAAGTAGGCATAAGGCAAATAAAAATATATAGTCTTAAAAAATAATAGCCCGCATAATTTCTGCTAAAATTTTTATTTTTGCCATTTTGTCTGAGCTCAAGGGGAGTGTTTAAAGCCCTAAACCCCTCCATTGCGTACGCCCCTGAGCTCATGTATCTTTATTCATCTAAAGAACATTATTTAAAGCTTGAATCATTATCTATATAGAATAATAAAAGTCATACTCAAAATAATAATAATACATTTCGTAATCCCTACTTTCACTAAATAGATTCACATTTTGGAGGGAAAAAATATTCACAACTATAACAATTATCCACAATAATAAGATTAAATTGCACAAGGCAAATTAATAAGCAAACTCTTTTGTGAGTAATTCTTAAAAAAAGAGTTGAAGATAAAAGTAAATATTTTATTTTATACTACTTTATAAAACTAGTTATCAACTCCCCCTAATTCTCTACAAAACCATAATCTCAAAACATAAAAAATATAAAAAAAATGAATGCAACATTTTTACTTGACTCTCAGTTAAATATTTATTTATATACGTAATTGCCATAGTTTGTTTACGGTAAGACCGCCCCCCCCCCCCCCCCC